CGGGCCGGGGCGGGCGCACGACCGGAAATGAAACGTGAGGTCCTTTGATCTCGACTCGACTCGGGGTAGGCGGGCCGCGACCAAGTGGCAGTCAAGGCGGCTATGATCGGGGTGCGTCACGGGCCGCGGTCGCGACGGCACTGTAAACCTGGAAGTCAGGATCCGCTCGTTAAAAACAAACGGAGGACATCGCACTGTTAAAAAATTGCGAAAGAAAAATGCCAAATCCTTCGTAGGTAGCAAATCCTTAGTAGGTATACGAAGGGTTTGGCATTTTGCTTGGAGGTTTTAACTGTGCGTCCCTTTTCATAGATGATAAGATTTGCGTGCGTAATTTCCGAGTCCATTACAAAGTGATCCCACAAAAGAATTAAAATCATCACCCTTGGTAAGTTCTCCGTTAGTTTGCCCCATGTTGGCTGGCACCCAATTTGATTCAGTTTCACTAGATCCACAATGAGGGCTAGTACGACAATTTTACGGGTCCTCAAAACTGTATTTATCGTCATCCCGAATATGTATTTTACCGTAGAGGTCGAATCTACTTTTAAAAAAATATATAGGGGGAGGGGACATGGCACGTTTCCTGACAATAACTTTGGTGATTGCCTCGCTGATTTCTCACGAGAATTTTAAGAAATTTTATAAATCACGATTTTGTTATGGGGTGGGGAGTGGGGATTTTTAAGTGAATATCGACATTGTAAAATTTGACCCCCTTGAAAAGTGGGTAGTGACATTCAGGCAACAGGCGTGAGCAAGAGTCAGAGTTTCGCACTATATCGGTTCAAAACAATAGAGAACTTAATGCTATAGAAGATGGACGCTGTGCGAGAAAGCCATAAAGATCCCACTCATGAAAGTCGTTTTTTTGTGTGTTTTTTTCGGTCAGGTTATTATAGTGAGGAGAGTCCGAAAAATCTGAAACGGTCCAGGTATGAGTCGAACGAAACTGCCGAGAGGCGTGCATCTCACGCTCGCACAGCGTCCCTCTGGCCTGGTTCCTGGCCCCTAGCCTCGCGCTCGGGCGTGGGGAGCGCCTGCAAGGTAGGCACCCCCGTTGAGCAGCAATGCGCTGCGGTCCAGAGAGTTGCCTACCCCGCCATGCGATCTGGTCAGCCGGTGAGGCCGGGAGAGAGGCAGGGATGAGGAAAAGGCAGTAGGCAGAGGGGTAGGAGCGGGGCAGGAAAGGTGAGAGGAAGAGTGGTGAGAGGAAGAGTGGTGAGAGGAAGAGTGGTGAGAGGAAGAGTGGTGAGAGGAGGTGAGAGGAAGAGTGGTGAGAGGAAGAGTGGTGAGAGGAAGAGTGGTGAGAGGAAGAGTGGTGAGAGGACAGAGCGGCACAAGAGCCGCCGAGAAAAACGGGGTTTGGAGGTGAGGGAGGAGCAGGCGAGCCTGAGAGCGAAAGTTGTGTCCAAAAAAGCCGGATAGAAATAAGAAAAGATAGAAAAGGACACGGAGAAGAATAGGAAAGAAAGAAAAGGGACAAAGAATGGTAAGAAAGGAAAATGCTTGCATACGCAGGCAGCGAGGCAGGCGGCAGGCAAGGCGAGCGGCGCATTTGGCGCCCGGCCGGATTTTTGTCGCAAGATTAGAGATGGCGGCAAAAAGTCCCTGCGACGTCGCTCTTTTTGAGGGGCACGCAAGCAGAGCGGGAAAAGAGTGCGGGAGCGAAAGGACTCGGCCAAAAAGACAGCGAGAGAAAGAAAACCACACGCGCTGACGTCTCGTGACTTTAAGGGATAAGTTTCACGCCAGCCCTCTGGTGAGAGTTTACTCCAAGCCAAGCATAGCCGAGTTCCTTCACAATGGGCCAATAGGCCAATTAAACTTGCCATACATTTCTCAGACCGCTAAAAAAGAAGGAAAAACCCTTTCAAAACAGTGCATCGTAGAAAACGTAGGTCGTACCGAGTGGTTCATAAAAGACCTATGTCTGGGCGGGTTTGCCTACCCGCTCTGCCCGCGCAAAGCTCCATAGCCCCTTGGGTAGGCAAACCCGCCCGCACCTGTGTCTTTTATGAAACACCCGGTGCAAGCGTGGGGTGGGACCGTCGACCGTCAAACGTGTGCGGGTTCGTGGGTTCACTTGCATTATAGTCTCGTACGTAGGGAGACAGCGCAATGACGCAAAGGTCGCACGGACATGTGCGATCAAGCATCCAGTCTCGAGCCAGCGAAAAAAACAGCAGGTGCCTCGGCATTTGAACCGACATCTCCTCACAACCACAGCAGCAGCAGCAGCAGCATGTGGGCATATACTATACCGCCGCGTGTTTTTCTAGCTCTGTGATTTTACTATCCCCTCCCCTTTTCTCTCTCTCTCTCCCTCGGGCACCGTTATGCCCCCAACCCACGCAACCGCTGCTATGCTGCGCGCGGCACGGCCCAGCCACGGCCGAACCGAACCGATCTCATGTCTGTCTGTCTGCTGGGACCGTCCTGGAAACATGGGCGGCACGGATATCGAATGGTTGCACTCGACCCCCCCCCCCCCCCCGGTCCTCAGGGGTGGTGTCACACGCTTTTCTGTGAGTGATTTGGCCCTTGCACTTTTTTATGAAAAACAAATAGTCACATACTTTTTGTGTGTGGTATTCTGGCACAGGCTATTGATTTTTAAAGTGTGAAATGTGCGTTCTATAATACAGGGTGGGTTATCTGACCGCACTCGTGCAAGTTTAGCTCGAAATTCGGCGGCCAAGCGACGTTCCCCGTATCCACATAAAATTGGGGACATTTCTCTTCCCGCTTCAATACAACGGGGAGCGCGAGGAGCCTGTGCGAGGTAGCACACAGGTAACGCCAACAACAAGGCGATAAAAGTCGCGCGTAAAAAGCGCCCTTCCCATCTCTTACTACCCCCACCCCCCCCTCTCTCTCTCTCTCCGTCCCACCCTTTCCCTCCTCCAACCAACCCATCGAACCATTGGCAAATTATTAATAAAGCAGGAGAGATGAATCACATGGGATGGTTCGTTCCATGTATTTGCTCTGCTCCCCCCGCCCCCTTTCCCTTCCTCGTTCACTTCTATCTCTCCCTCTCTCTCATCCAACACCTGCACTGTTGCAAAGGCCAGGTGATGCCGTTCTGTTTCCTCACTTAGACGACCTAGGACCTAGAGCTAAAATAGCCGTTACTAAAAATATAATGATGCACCACTAGAGGAAAGGAAATGTCAGATTCACTGTTAAGAAGATATTTAAGTATAGACGGTCATTTCCCATAATTTAAAAAAAAAAACTTGTTCTTCACCAACACTTAGTGTGTGAAAGAAGGGAAGTGCGAGTGGCTCATGTTCATTCGGTCATTTACATAGGAACTCAGCGCCTGCGAGACCCCGGGTAGGCCACACCGCAGTACATGCATGCGCTGCAGGCAAGATGTGGCCTACCTATCAGGCGTTATGAGAGCAAGCACTGTCTGAACTGGGCAGTTTCCTCGCGGCAAATGACGGCCGTACTTTTTGGACGAGTTTTGAGTTTCATGTCTTCCTTGTTTGGTCATGTTTTAATTTACAACGCCTCACAATTTTGACAGAGCGACACCTTATTTTTCGTCAAGTCTACGACCCTTTTTTTCCCCCTAGATAACTCAACTTACCCTTCTCTGCGCCTGCCGGTACTGCGCAGCGACATCTCACGGGGCGAAGCTGAGGCTGGCCACGGAGCGCTCCGAGGCTACCGTCCACCATCGCCGGCGACGTTCAGATCACTTCAGCCCGCGGGGGGTGGGGTCCACTGCGAACAAGACAAAATCATCAATAAGTGAATAGGAGAGAGAAATTCGTGTTATTACTAAACGTGTTAAACTGATAAAAGTAACTTTACACTGGAAAAGATACTAGCTAATGACTTTTAATTGGCGTTAGTGAAATAGTGGCTTTACAAAGTTGCTACTGGCCTCCAAAGATACTGCTTTCGGCAATTATTGTAGTGCCTTTACAAAGGCACTATTGCAGGAGCGCCTTTGAAAGGAACATTTTTTGCCAGTGTACTCTCAATGTTTTCATACTTAGTTTCGTATGTCACATATTAACCGAGGGGTGGATAACTCCCCTGCCAAGTGTACACCCCTAATTCTGCCCAATTCAAACTAATTCAGACCAATTCAATTTAATTCAAACAAATTCAAAACTAATTCAACTAATTCAGTCCAATTCAAGACAATGTACATTGAATTCAAGTCAATTCAAGCCAATTCACGCTAATTCAGTAACATAAAATCGCAGTAATTCAAACCAATTCAAAACCAATTCAACCAATTCAGTCTAATTCAAATTCAATTCAAGCCAATTCAAGCTAATTCAAATTCAATTCTTGAAATTTGTACACCTAATTCAGGAGTTATCCACCCCTCGATATTAACTCTAAGAACAAGAAGCATGAAATTGTACCAAAAATGTTTCATCCATAATTAAGAACCCTCAAACTTGCTTGCGCTAATTGTATGGTTTGAAATAGAATGAGCATCTTCGATACGTATGTATCGGGAGGAACACAAGAAATTTACATTAATTTGAGGTCTCATCACAGGCACCTGGAAACACAGAGTTTTCTGTCACAATCGATTGTGTCGATGTTTACTAACAGATGTTTTCCATACATCCAAATTTATACTGCTATTATTTGTGTACATCGCACCGTTTACAAACATATTTTCGTTAAGTTTACATTGTGAATTTTGTCGATCTTTGTTAAATTGTGTATGACATCGTGTTTCACCACTAAAAAATCGACATATTCTTAACATCGCGATTTATTGTTATCAATTATCAGAGAGTCAGAGAAATTGTTTTTAAGATTTTACAGCCCGTGAACGTTCAGTCAGAAAAAAAACACAACCAAGTTACAAAATGTTCGTGACGTTTTAAATGTATTTCACACTTTAAAATTGAGAAGACTTTGTGTATGAAAACTAACAGGACATTTTTCGACAAATCACGATATAATTTTCAACAGTGTGGCTTATAGGAACTGTACCGGGTGATTCAGAAAAGACGCGGGTGCTGGTGGGTTTGCCTACTCGCTCTGCCCATAAGGAGCCATGCGGCCCTTTAGGTAGGCCAACCCAGCCGCACCTGCGTCTTCTCTGAATAAACCGGTTTCACCCTGATCTGCCCTGCCCACCGAACAATAGAAAAGCCGTGCCCTACTTCAAAAGTTAAATACTTGCAAGTGCACACCTACCGAGTTGAACACTTGCAAGTGTACAGCGACGGACTAGCACACTTGCAAGTATTCAACTTGCAGTTGCACACTTACAAATGTTGATCAGTTGAACATTTAGTTTAACAGTGTAAACAGAACGCTGGCCGGGGCAACAATCGACTAATATTTTTCTCGTGTATGTAGGTCAATCTGCCCCCATGCGCAATTGGCACAAAATCAAGAGCGAAAGACCGCAATAGGTAAGAAAAGATTTGAAAAAAATTGAAGGGGAGCGGAGAGAGCGTGGAAAGGGGAAGAGGTATGGAAAAGAACGACGATGACCATCACCAACAAAAAATTGACGACAGCAGAGATTATCTTTATTTTCCGGTGTTCAGTCGAGTTTGCACCTGTTTTCCCCCTGGCCACCCCTCCCCGCTGGGTATTAAGCCCGCCCCAGCGCGCGCGCGGTCACGGGAGCACTCTGAGAGTGCCGGTCCGGGGAACAGATTCCCCCAAACCAGCGGGGCCGCCGGCACCAGCCACCCCTCGGTGAAAAATGCTAGGAGGAGACCACCATGAGGTTACCCCCACCACAACGACGACCACCGCCACCACCACCACTGCTCCTCAAGCCCAGCTTACCACAATAAAGAACACTTTTCCCTGTTTCCCCCCACCAGTTCTTTCGCATCCTTCCTGTGTCCGTTCAGGCTCCCCAGTTCCCCACTTCCTCCTCTTTACCCCTTCGCAACTTTTTGGCCGGTGGCGGAGGGGGCGGGCCCGGCAGGGTGGTGGTGGTAGTAAGACATAATTAGGGGGGATTTTGCCATTGTGCAAACTGCACCGCATATTCAGATTCGCTCGCTGCACGAGGCCGCCCCGCCCCGCGGCCTGCGCTCGCTCGCGTGACTGTCCCCCGTGTCAGCCCTTCCCGCCCTTCCCGACCGTCTTCCAGTAAAACCAGCGCCCGTCTGTCTGACCACCAACCCCACAGGCGCGGAGGATTAAGGCGGAAGGGGTAGAGCCATCCCCTTTTCCCCCTTCGTTTCTAGTGATCCGCCTGAGAGATAGGCAGTTTCATGTAGGCAACCCACGGTGCCCCGCCCCCCAGCAGGACCTTTACCCGCGCCTGAAACACCACAGCCCACCCGCACCCACCCGTCACCAGACTGGGTTCTCACGACCACGTGACCACGCGGGGGCGGGGGGGAGGGGGGGGGGCGCCGGGCCGAGCGGCACGCAGCGGTCATCGCATTCCTCCCATACTCTGATCGGCTACCTGGGGCCGCCGTGGTACTCCGTGGTGGCCGCGGTGGGGTGCACTGCATGCGAGTCGGCGGCGCGCCGCGCGGAGACACGCGCCGGGTCCACCGCACGGGGAGGACGTCGAAGAGGAGGAGGAGGACGGCGCTGGCGGGGAGTGCGCCCCCATGCGGTCCACGCGCGTGCGGGTCGCGTGCGGGTCGCGTGCGTGTCACGTGCTGCGGGTCGCGTGCGGGTCGCGTGCTGCGGGTCGCTATGGGGTTGTGCCGTGCGTGCGGCCGGGCCGGGCCGGCGGAGCGGTTGGGAGGTGGGCCGCACCGGGTGACCAGCGCCAGCTGTAGCGCCAGCTGTAGCGCCAGCGCCAGCGGGCTCTGCCAGCTCACTGCCGCGCCGGTGCCGTCTGCGGGTGCGGGAGCCCTAGCGGGAGCTGGCCCCGGGCCCCCCGCCCCCGACCAGTGCCGCCCCCGCCGCCCCTCGCGGGCTCGGCTCGCCTCGCCTCGGCACCCCGAGCAGCGCCCCAACAGACGGGGGGGTGGGCCGCCCCCGCGCCAGCCGCCAGGGGTGCGTCCATAAAGCACCTTCCGATTGCACGCGGGTGAGGTGTTGGCCGACACTGGTGTCAAAATGCGGCTGCAACCCCAGGGATGGGGGCACACCCTGGCGGTGGTACACGGGTCCTAGAACCATTGGGTACCCCGAGGTGCACCTGCACCATCACTATTATTACAAAAAAGTACCCGAGGGGTGACTACTTGAATTTTACGGAGACACGGGAGTCACGCGTACGAGGTATGTGACACTCGGAGTTGATGGAATACACCCGGATTACGTACATTCGGAGTACATCCACAGTACTTTCAGCCCGGGACACAGGAGCACACCAGTTGTCCACCCCTCGCATGTACTCGAGACTAGGGGGAACACCGGAGTACACCCGAAGGGTCGTAGTCCACTACGACTTGTGTACTCCGATAGGGGACCCATCACCCCATCTACCCCATTCGGTGGGGCAGTGGCAGCGCCTAGAGGGGAACCTAGAATTTCCCGTTTCGCCCAGCGAATGGGGTATGGTGCTCACCCGAAAGCTTCTGTACCAGAGGTATCCCAAGAGGGGTAGGGGCCAACCACCCACCACCCCATCACAAAAAGCCGCCGGGAGGTCGAGTGTCGTGTCAGGTCGTGTTGAGTCCAGCCGTCGAGACCCACTGACTGTCGCACTCCTTCTTGGTGGAGAGATTAACAAAGCCCGTGTCACATTACTAGGAAAGGACGTTTGTAATGGGAGTACAGGCCATTGTGACAAGAGGGATCAAAGGCGAAGGCACTCCACTCCACCCCCACCTGAAGGAACCGCGCCTCGTACCTAACCCTCACAGGAAACCATCGAACATGTCACACATGAACGACGATACTATGGCATGATCGTATACCTGAGCCTTTTATTTATGTATGCGATTTAATGCATTCTATTTGCTTACCTATTTAAGACAAGTTTTAAAGCTACAAGTGCACCATAACCCTTTTTCATTAACACCGATTGGAATTTGGAAACGTTAAAACACGCAACCTGCTTACCTTCAAAATAAAATGCTCTGTTCTCCTGGATGCTCCATGTTTAAAATGCCGTAAAATGGAGTCATTTCGTGTTTTCATTTTTTTTTTCAACACTAAACCACTACACATTAGCCAATCTCCTGGCTAGCCGATGCCGGTCCTCCTTTCGCCAACCGGAAGTATGACAAACTAAGCCGAAGCCGGACAGACGAACTCCCGGGAGTGAATTCAACTTACGACTGTTGACTAGTGTTCGCTCCAAATTTATCTATTTGTACGATAAGTTTCCGTTAGACGTTGAAAAGAACTTTTCTTCATGACTTTGACAAAGTTTTCAGCTATTCAAGGTGAAAATTTTTACCTACACAGAGTTCAGAAATTTTCTAATTACTATCCATCTTTTACACAGTGAACTTTGCTTGCTGTTCCCAAAAGATCTTGTTGACCCTTACTGAACTCTGCCCATTATATTCTTTGCTGAGATTTTGGATTTGAGAAGGAAAGTATGGTATAAGAGAAATAAAATTGTGCAATGTAATACAACAATAATGTATTAATGAATCTCTTAAAATTGTCACAAGGGAGACAGTGAATTTCATGAGTTGCACAAATCGAATTTGATAAGAGATGATTTAAACATCAGAATGTTCTTGTGTTTGCTATGATTGTTAACATGAGTACATAACAATTACAAAACCATTATCAACAATAAGACCAGACAAATTATATTAAAATGTGCGATACCAAGGCCGTACACATAAATACAATCAAAATATTGGTACAATAAAATATGTATGTAGAGTAAAATAATGAAAATCAACAGTGGTTTTATAATCTGTTTGATGCTTGTCTACTGCCACTTGAAAATAAAATTTCATGCAACAAAAAATTGCTGATGTCATAGAAAAACTATCATCACTTACAAATTTTAATTAGAGAAAATGCAAATTGGGTTTGTACCTAAGAGTCAAACCATTTTGTTCTATTACATATATAGACACACATCTCCAAAAGGATGTGAAATCTACCCTTGCAAAAGGTTGCTGCCGATCTATCACATTCTGACAATCCTATCTATCTATATACAATTTTACTTAGTTATAAAACTAATACCAAGAGGAAACAACCTCACACAAATATAAGACAATTTCACCATAAAAAGCAAGATTAGTAACTCAGACAAGACATAAGAAACACATGATGACACAAAATTGGCAACTTCACATACAAATAAAGCAGCTCACCTCAGTACAGAACGCACACGTCATTCTCTTAATTGTGACTTTGTACGACTCCTTCAGTCCTGACTGAATGTCACCTTCTTGAAAAACAGTCAAATTTTTACAAGCAAATTACACATTGTAAGCTAACTCTCCACTTTGCATAGAGCAATCTGACAAAAGATGGCTTGATCAACATTAGTTGGTATGACTAGCACAATTAGTTCAGTTTATGAATAGAATACACAAATACACAAATATATCCTTCATGGATCCACCTCCATGAAGGTGGACGATTTAAAAAGGTATTTACAGAGAGTGGACACTAAAACACATCAACTGAATTTATTGTAAACAAGACCATCACAGAAAACAGAGAAGATGTATCAGCTTTTCACACAATGAATACTTTTAATTAAGCCTTAAATTCAACAAGGGTTCAATAAGAAATGAACCAAATCATACATGAACTCTGGAATTGTTAGTACTGGCTCACTCACTAGCCAATTTATAGATAGATAAATGGCAAACTTCTATAGTGGTAACTTCAAAGGAAGAGAAAGATATCAACATAAATTTCTTCGTTTGAAACAGCACTTAGTTTAACTTTATGATGGGAAAATGACAGTGCTGACTAAAGTCAAAAATGGGAGGAGTATTAGAATCCTGCTTGTGACCTCCAGCAAGCAATTTCAAAACAACGAAATTTGTTTTTGCCACCAATAGCAAATTATTTATCTACAACAAAACCAAAGCAAAATTAATAAAAATTCTTAATTGTTGTTTTCCTGTATAGTTTTAATTTTATGACAGAAAATTAGACTGCTTACCTCCTGATCAGAACTAGCCATTATTTCAAGCAAAGTTCTAGCCTGATGAAAGTTCTTGCAGGCAGCCATGAATAACCTTGTGTGGTCAGGAGATTGCTTTTCACTTTGTACACATATTTGAGTCTCCATTGTTTTAGTCATGTCACAAAATTCTGTGTATTGCATGGGTGGCGGTGTGTGAAGAGAAGAAAATGGCAAGAACCGATGCTCATAGCGCACCTTTTCACAATCAAACTCTGACTTTGGAATATTTATCTTCCCAGTTCGTTGAAATGCAATAGCAGCCTAAAGAAAAAAATCAAGTAATTTGTTAGAAAAACTTTGATTAGACACGTTATCATAACCAATTTTTTTACTGCATGTGTATATGAAAAATTAAAATTACCTTATAGTAACCTCCACACAGATTCTGATAAACTTGACAAAGAGTGATGTCCCTAGCATATGGTCGGCAACCCTTTTTACGTTTCACTTTATTTTTCTTGCCTTTACCACGAGAGTTTTCCTTTTCCAAATACGATTCCTGTTCTAATAAAAGACTATCTGCTCTAGATAGAGATGAAAGAAGCCATCCATAGAGGAATTCGTACAAATACCTGCCAAGATTAATCAATTTCATACTCCCTCATGAACTGATTATGATATCTGTATGCATATATATATCAACTCAAAAAGATAACTCACCAGTAGATGTAATGATATTCATGAACAGAATACAATTGAAGTTCGAATCCAGAGAGCAAGTACATGATCATGATCCGAAGGGTATGGTACAAAATCCATGTCCCAAAACATGCAAGGTGAGATCTTCTTCCCTCTGATTTTGAAGTCAAATTGTGAAGATACGCATCAACTTTTTCAGCCTAAACCATAAATAATAAAGGTGAAAAGCAGATTATGAAACTGATTTAGAGAACATAGATTAGACTTAGTGAATTAAAAAATAAATATTGTTACCTCATCCTGAAGATTAGAAAAGTCTTCAAGTAAGTGTGCAAGCCTTTCTCTTTGTCTTGCCCGATTGTGGCCACACAATTGTATTAATTGGACAAATGGACGACCACAATGAAGGAGAAACATATCAAGAAACTCCTTAGCCTGAAGAAAACATTCGAGTATGTGAAGGAACAGCCAAAATAAGCAAAAATACGTACTACAAAATAAATGTGGAAGAAAGATTACCTGTGTATTAGACGCAAGTAATGTTTTAGACGCTAGTGATGGTGGGCATATAAATGACTTCGCAGCTTCCCTCAGCACTTCAACCACACGAGTATTAGTCAGCAAGCTTGATGGCTGCGGAATGTACAGTACCTGAAGTACTGATCTAGATAAAAGACATGGTTTTTGCCTGCTAAATTCCATAAAAAAGTCCTGGAAAATAATAATCAAAAAATAAAACTTATCTGTGATGTTAACATTTAAAGTTTCAAGCAGATTACAAAACCAAATGTTTACCAAAGCTGTATGAAATGATGCATGGCTATAAATTTTGCAAACAACCCTAAGTCGTTGTATCAAGTCATCATAGTAAGTGAAAGCTTCATCACGCGATTTTATTTTAGCATATCTAGGAAATGTTGGTGGTAAAAGACGTTGGTTGGCCAGGGGCTCAAATCCAAGTTTTGGTGAATCTGCAATCATTAATGAACAAATTACAATAAAACCAATCTTTCAATGTAAGTCCAAATAAATTCAAGTTTTCTTTCTTCTAACCTGAGGGAATCGCCAGAGGTATAGTACTTCGCATTATAGTTAGTTGTTCAGAGCACATATTAAGAGCCTTGTGAAGCTCACTCTCTGGTCTCAGCTCTTTCCTTGCTTCAGGCTCAGTGTCTTGACGCCCAAGAACACCAAGAACAGAGTAGAGAAGTCTTATAAATTTTATACGTGCAAGTAATGCTCCAAGGCAGTCCGCCTAGAAAGAAATTTACAAATAAGCGAGACTGGAAGAAAATATGTACTTTAATTCAAAAATAATGAGGAATGACAAACTTCTCTTTGAGGAGGTCGTTGTCTTAGTCTTCGAAATAAGTCTTCTTCTACTTCACGGAGCATACCCACTGTCCTCTGCTCAGAAACATCTGGGACTAAACGATAACCATACTGCATGGGTTGATAGTCTTCCTCTTCAAACACTGCAGCCCTGTGCAGATATTAAGCTTTTATTTGAAACAATATGTAATTTCAAGTACGAGAAAACCCAACAGGAACAAGAAAAATAACATACTGATCTATAAAGTGCTTGATAATTTCCACCATTTTGTAGGCAGTGATGCAAAATGCTTTCAGTGAACGCTCCTCAATGGAAAATGGCTTGTGTAGGTAAAGATTTGCAAACACAGTTTGAGCAAGTGAATTTCCCTCTATCCAGGAAACAAAGCATGCAAAGACCTGGTCCATTACTCCAATTTGTTCCAACAAATCCAATCCTTCCAAGCGTAAAACACCCAGCTAGAAAATACAAAACAATATAAAATAAATAAATAACAGGTTGAGGGTCGTTTTGTTATCGTCAGTGTACAGAGTGCTAAGGTTGTGCACTGACCTCCACACCCTTGTCAAATGTTAATGTTGGTTTGTCACTACGGTTGCACATCATTCCTGCGTCCATCTTAGGATCCATCATCTCCACAGCAGACATGGCCTCATAAAGCCCAAAGTGCTTGTCAAGCAATAGCTCACCAAGGTTGAGAGCTGGAAGGAGAGGGTCAATAGATATTTATTAGATGTACCTTTAAAAAAAATTACATGCTATCTGTAGACTGAGTGTAAGTCACAATGGCTCATCTTACTCTTGGCCAATGATGTAAACTCCTCTGTGATGTCCACCCAATTGTATGTGAGCTTAGGTGTTGCTGTTGTTGTGAAGACACCATCTTCAAGGCTGTCAATGGGAAAACCAAGAAATTGTATTAATGGTAAAGGGCTACATGTACTAAGTGATGTGCAGACTACAGAGTGACGGTACCACCGGTGGACCAAAGAAACTCCTGAGAGTAGGTTGAGAATTCACAGGAAAATAGGAGGAGACTAAGGTAGCACAACTGTGTTTAGATTGATTGAAAGTGAAAAATTCAGAAATGTTACTCTTTCTATAATACCCCAATCATAAAAGGTCATGTTAAATATTTTGACAGAAGCGTAAGACACGACTGAAAAGTATTTCATTCACCGTAATTTCATTCAGCTTTCATTAGTATAAGCAATAGTTAAAAGACCAGTTTTCAAAACATTTCCTGAAACTTTTCAGTAGGAAACATAACCTAGTCAAAATCCAAAGTAAAAAGTACACATTTAGATACTTACAGTTTTTTCTTCTCGTCATCCGACAGATCTCCATCATCGTCTACTTTTATGTGCTCATTCATACTCATACTAAATAAATGTGGTAGAACACTAAAATTTACGAATTTGAAGGAACAAGATTCAGAAAAGCAGGTACAATGCAATACCAATAACAATGTGGAGTCATAATACAGCAGATTCCATCCCAAAAGACACACCCTCGATGGTGCTATGAGACTATCTTCCGCATTTGTTTGGCTTTTAGTATGAAAACTAAAACGCCTCTTTACCTCTTTTCCTCCCCCTCACCTCACCCTCACCCCCCTCGCATCTAAACAAAACACCAAACATCGGCTGCCGCAACGGCTGTGATCCGTCCAATAACAGTTCCAGAATGTCTACATTTTGTTAGGCTAATGAGCCGTGCACAATTTTGGTCATTTATTTGATTGTTCTTGATTTTTCCGTGTTGTTTTCACGGCGGAATCCGCCTTGGAAGTTAGTGATAATCCCCAGGGTACCCGTCGTTAGGTTAGACCACCACAATGTTCAAAAACACATTTCAGAGTGGATTTTTGTCAATACTCTATAGCATTGGTAGTAAGCCTCTTCAAATTTGGGACAAGAAGGTTCGGAATGGACACATCAAGAGGATTACTGACGGCGACATCCAATCTTTGGTGTTGGAAGTAGTTGGAACCAATGTCAGTACGACTTACATTACCTGCCCTGCTGATCCGAAGAAAACTCTGGGAATTAAGTTATCATTCCTAGTTATGATAATCAAGAATTTAAAAAAGTACTTTACATTTGAAATCCAGGTATGTCAGGGGTGAATTGTGGCCTACATTCTTAAAACTGCAATCCTCAAATTATGTTGAACATTTTTCTTAACATTGATATTTTATGTTGATTTCTAGGTGCTGGATGACAAGAATGTACGGCGAAGATTCAGAGCAAGCAACTATCAGTCAACTACTCGGGTGAAGCCTTTTATTTGTACAATGCCTATGCGATTGGATGATGGTTGGAATCAAATACAGTTTAATTTAAGTGATTTTACTAGACGTGCCTATGGAACAACATATGCTGAAACTCTTCGGGTGCAAATTCATGCCAATTGTAGGATTCGCCGAGTTTACTTTTCAGACAGATTGTATTCTGAGGATGAATTGCCTGCAGAATTTAAACTGTTTCTTCCTATTCAAAATAAGACAAAGACTTAAAAAATTCTCATTTGTTCATTGTGGCTTTTTCTTTGGTCCCTTTTAAAATCCTACCCCGAGTGAAATCTCTTATAATGGTACATTCTGGGAAAATGGGATCCAATTATAACAGCTGTCATCTACTTTGCCTCTTTATTGTGCACTTCTGTCAATTATGATTTCATTATGCAAATTTGCCCTTCTGAATTTAGTTTAATTGGTTTGTCATATGTTTAGTAGTTAACGGAATGGATCCATTGGTGAACTGTTTGGATATATGCTGTACTGTTTCAGGTATTTGGGAAGATACATTGTATTTATTTAGAATTCAAAATTCTCCAAATTTTTATTCAATGTATGTCAAACATGTACATTTTTAAGGAGCACCTTCTCAGAATATGTTACAGTAGGAGTTTCTTATGCTCTTTAAATTGTTTTTATAATTCAAAGTTCAAAATAAAATATTGACATTTACCATCACAATATTTTCATCGTTATATTTAATATTCACTATTATCAACTTGCATATTGAGTGTGCTGTGTTCAGGCTGAGCCAACAGACTGCCCACAACAACATTTACCATTGGATACTTACATATTTGTTTAGAATACATCTCAATTGCCATGTACATCCAATTTCTCTGATAATACGACATCTGATAAAATCGGTATCACTTTAATATATATCACTGCAGTACATCCTTTCTGGCCTCTTAACCAATAAATTAACAATTGATGAGGTGAAATTTCACAATTTGACAAAGTGACATGAGGGACATGGTCCATTAATGAGCTCTCTGTAGCAAACATGTTCACTATAAGCAAACAGTTTTGCATTCCCTTGGTATTTCCCTCAATTTGACCGTAGGATGTTTGGTTCATTTTGCTACCAAGTTGGTAATTATATCATTTTCATTCTGGATCAATATGAAGTTGCAGAAAGTAGGAACAACTACATACAGCTTATAATGACCATATTGTGCCAACACACATGCAAATGAGTTCGGGTACTTAAAGTTATATTTGTACTATAAAAACACTTTAAGGGTAATATTTTTTATTTTCAGTAACAATTTGAAGCTGGTTAATTTTAAAACAAGTAGTAGTTCTGTGTTTTCTAAAGAAGGGAAACAAAGGTGCAACCAGACAAGAACACATTGCCATCACCAAAGAAACAACAAGTGAGCACTTCAAAGGCTTAAGAGAAATTTGTTAAAAGTTTACTGATAATGTGCTCTGGAAATCTATCTAGTAATTTATTACTTGATTTATAATATAATTGATTATAAAACCTCCTGAGTGGAGGAGTAGAGTGAGGAATGGCAGATTCAAGATAAGATGATTTGAAAGCAGTGTCTGACAGACAGACAGGAATGTGGGCACAACCTAAAATGTCAAATATTGACAGATGGAAGAAGATAAAAACTACTTACATTGTAATGTAAGATCTACATAGAAAATGTAAAAGATAATAACAAATCACACATCAGTCACATATTAGTACACATCACATTACACATAAACCAAACCAAAAACAAATTACAGTACAGTTACAGTATTTGACAGTTTCCTTCTGGTGGGAAAAATCAATACTTCGAGTTTAAAATAGAAATAAATAAATAATTTAACGGCGCAAGGCTGTAGATATGGTGGTAGGGTGCGATTCTGCACCGTTGTACTTGGATAATCCAATATGGTTCTAAAATACACAAGCATTTCACTTTTTGATTGTTTGAAGGGGAATGATTTACAAAACAGAAGTTGTAAGAAGGAAAACATCAACACATAGTGGATTATTAGAAAACAAAATAATCTACCACAAATTATCAGTTTTTTCCAGATATAATGCACAAATGTAAAGAAGTTCACTTTTGTTCTTTACACACATGGCTCATAGTTTTATTCACTGGAAAGTACACAAGTTTGACTTCAGATGAGTAGGAACTCTGATAATTAAAAATGGCATTATAAAGGGGTCCAGCTACATTAACTTCTTTCTTATATGCATAGTTATCTACAAGTACTAGGTAAAAATATCTTAAAAATAACAAATGCTGTATGTTAGCATATGCTTAAAAACATGCACAATGTACAAAAGCACTCAATTACTGTAATACAGTGTATAACAATTCGTGCAAAGCTTGTTTGTTTTCCAACAAAAAAAAAAAGGAAGGGGGGAGAGGGGAAGGGGAAATGGTCACTATCAATGTTGCACCATTGTAATTAGACAAACAATTGATATCAGTCTAAGTATTAGAATAGCCGTTCCTCAATTATCAAAGTTAATACTAAATGGCAAAACGAGCACATTACTAAAAAAAAGTTACTAGGACATTTTCTTTCCAGATTATGAGATGGGAACCCTGCATTGAACTATTACCCACAAAAATACTAGACTAGCTTACATTGACGATTCAATTTTAGAGAATAGAACTCAGATCAAGAGTCAAGTGGATTAGATGAACCTTTGAGAAGTTACAATAATCTGGAAGTCATATGTACTACACTGTTTCCTTTTACATTTTGCATTAATAGAGATACATGCAGGTTCCTCACAAACCTTAGCACCACAGTAACCTTTAACAACACCAGACGTGATTGTCCAGCCAAAGAATAAAAATAACCGATATTATCAAATCGGTAGAGCCAGCCAGTCATCCAGGCGTTCATAGCCATTTTCCATGATATCAGTCTACGGTACGATACGTTTCCATCGCTTGATTTTCTTTCTCTTATCACATGACGACGCAGCATGTGCGATGGCAGGTCCGGCAGCAGGGGCTGACCCTGTGCTCGCAGCAGCGCGGTGACAGGGGAGGGGATTCTGCCCTGCTAGAGGGGCGGGAAGGGGATGGGCAGGGGGACGGCCCGTAGGGGGACTGGCCGTAGGGGGAGGTCCTCCGCCCCCAGGGATACGAGGGGTACGACGGGCACCTGGTCGGGCACCGCACGTCGGGGTACACGCCCGGGTACACGCCAGAAGAGCCGGTCGCGTCCACGCCGTAGTAAAGGCTGCACGAGGGCAGCGACGGCGAGGGCACCAGGTCACCCTTGCTCCAAAACCTTCGACTAGACTTGGCACCGGCGAGGCCACTCCCGGCGGGGAGGTGCACCCGCAGGTGGGTGTGGGCGTCGGCGGCGTCGGCGGCGTCGGCGGGGGCGGCTCGCGGGGCGGGGCAGCACGAGAAGCTGAGCTCGGCCAGCGCGCTGGGGTGCAGGATGAGCGAGGAGTGCACGACCCTCCGGTCCAGCCCCGGCCCCAGCCCGACCACGCAGGGCCGGTCGGAAGACGACGACGCCTTCCTGGAGGTGACAGACGACCGCGGCGAGGGCGACACCCGGCAGGGCCGCTCCGTCGACGACGACCAGCCGCCTAGGCCCTGCTGCACGTCCTCGAAGCTTTGCTCCGGGAAGAACGCGACTGGCGCCGGTGGCAGCAGGTGCGGCGTGGGGCACGGGGAGGGAGAGGAGGAGCGGGAGGGCGGAGGGGAGGGGGACGGGGACGCGGAAGGGCTCGGGGGTGACACAGAGATACCGCTGCTGGGAGGGTAGGCCGTGCCACGGAGCGCGTCACTACCGCTGGTCCGAGGGGGCGGGGAGGTCGGCAGTTCCGTTTCGCTGTAGGCGGCTGATGAGTGGCGAGACGTACACCCAGTCACCACCGCCCGTCTCCCGGAAGCTCTGAGTGATCGAAAAAACGAAAATTAGCCATTTACTTTTCTTCGAGCTGTCGAACTGTATGGTATACTAAGGAAGTGGCGACTGTACCAACCTTGGTTTCCCATTGTAGATTTCTCTCCTTACGCTCCTTGGCTTCTTCTCTTTGCCTCTGTTCAAGCTCTGTTTTGGCATTGGTTGCCTTGTCAATGTCATTTAGCCTGAAAACAAAACGACAACATTATAAAGGAAAATCCTCATCAGCATGTAAAAATATGAACAGGAAGGCATTCATTTAAGCAATGACACAAACCTCAGTCCGGCAGTGACTTCTTTCCAAAGTCGTCTAGATTCCATCTCACTCTGATCACAAATTGGCCTCACAACTTTCTTGACAATAGGAATTTCATTCACATTTAAGAAAACCTCTGACCTCTGCAGAATAGATGAAATAACATGAAGTTGCATGTGCATGAGACAAAATTCAAGAGAAAACTTTGACAAAGATTGTAGTGCAATAATACAGACCCCATCAGCCCACTTGGCATGCATGCTTCCATTCCACTCTCCAGTAATACTAAGAAAGCTCTTCTTATCCCCTGGCTGGTAAACTTCACCAGAAATTCTATGCTTTTTTCCTCCATAGAAAGGCTTTGTGTGGAATTCAACTGTCGCAGTAAAACCTGTCTTGGCACATGAAATAGTCACTGGACCACCAAGCTCAATCCATGGAACTGTCAGAATAGACCTGCAAAACAAAGAATTTTAAACAGAGCCCTTACTAGCAAGTTTCAATCAAATACATATTTTGATTGGGCAAAGCATTAAACAGTTTATAAAAATATTTGTCCATACCTGCCATAACCATTAGGGAATGTAACAATATATTCTTCATCATATTCAATGACCGATACACAGCCCTGACCAATATTGTGGACACCAACGGAAAGACCTAGAAATTTTGATTTTGTCCACACATGTGCACAAAAGCTTATTTTCTTGTTGTAATGTTCAGCATAAAATGCAGAAACTGAAAATAAAAAAGAATATGTCAAATAACATTAGATATCTAAATTAAAAGTACAAATCATGGAAGAGTTGAACTAACTTGGAGGGTGGTGAGATACTTGTTCAGCAATGAACGTAAGTTGATTGCGATCACACCATGGAACAGGTCCATCTTGAACATGAGGATCATTCCCATGGGGAAGACCAGGAACATTCCAATGACAGTAAAAAACTTCTCCTAAAATAGGGTTGTAGGGTTTTTTGGCAACAGAGCTTTTTCGACCTGCATGGTATGCGGACATATACCACCTCACAACTTGCACCATTCTGTCTCTAGCGTCCTTAAAATCAGCAATCCTGGATAAGGGAACAAAATAAGTGTTAATAAAATAAAACAAACCCCTAAAGAAGAACTAAATGATATGATATACTTCAAGCAAACTAACTTCAAAAAGTAATCAGGATGTGCAAAATAATCAGAGTACATCTCAAGCAGAGATCGTCTTTCTAAAATAAATGTTGGTAGAACAACCCTTGTCAAGTCCATTCCTATTTTCACTTGAGATAACAGGTGAGTAACAACTGAACCATGTGCTTCCATCGGCCCGACTGCAACAACACAAGACAAATGAACACTTAAGAGCCATTCACAAAAACCTCACCTATATATTCAATTCGAATGAGCACTACTCACAATCACTTTCATCTTCATCCTCGTACAAAGCTGTAAAAAGATGGGGGAAAACACAGTATGAATACTATTGATAAGCCTCACCATTGACTCGTGATAGCAATGGAAAAGTCAAGAATTCGTGGTGCATGAGGACGCGTCGTAAAAGACAATAATGAGATAGAAACACTACCAACCATCGTAGTCTAGCGATCCGTCTGAGAGCAGTGGTGGCACTCCCGGGCGGCGCTCCTGTGGCGCGCCCGCGCCGCCCCCGGCGCCCGGAGGCGCCACCGAGGACGACATCTCCGAGTCGCGGCGCCCGAGGGGCGACATCCCCGACCCGGGGGTGCGGCCCGCGGCATCCAGCTGGTCGGACGCCGACGAGAAGATGGGGAGACCGCTGCGGACACGAGAAGAAGACAAAGGCACATGAGCAGGCTGACAAATACACATTCTAAAGCAAGAACCCTCCATCCATAACCCGCGCGGCGAGGATACATTTTCGGCATTTTCCTGTATCCCGTTTGGGAGTCCATGGCGGACTAGCGAGGAGCAGGGTTGCTGCAGAGAGGATATAGGAGGGTGGGCGGCCAAATAGCCAAACCAGGCGAATCCCGCAAACCGCAAAGGGAGTCCATTGTTGCTGACTGACTGCGCTGACCGCGCTGACTCCCCCCCCCCCCCTCCTTTCCCTTTTCCCCACCGCGGCGCGGTCGAGAGGTGCCACCGGCAACACTACAGCTGCGAAATTAAATCCTGTGGCACGCACGCGCTAGAGCGTGAAAAACAGCAATCATCGGGCTTGAGCGGGGCGCCTTTAGGTGGCTTCCCCCACAGCATAGCCGCAGCCGCCGCAGCCAGAGCCGGGAGTCGAGGCGAGAGCCCCTGCAGGGTCCTGGATAGGCAACGTGCTCAACACAGGTGGCCGCTCGGCGACCGGTTGCCTAACCACGAGGGGTCCGGGGACCCACGGCAAGGCATGGCATCAACAAATATAAATGGAAGCGAGTGGAGAGTGGATTGCTGCTAGGCCGACTGATTCAGAAGTGCGCTTTTCGTATCTCTTGTCGCACTCCATTGGTATCAATGATGGTGCGAGTGGGGGAGAGAGAGAAGAGACAGAGACAGAAAGGGAGAGGGGGGTGGGGAAAGTGAAAGGGGGAGAGGAGAGAGAGAGGGGGAAATGGAGAGAGCGAGAGGCGAATATAATTCAGATAACCCCCGTGTCGTCGATAAATCGCACACACCCGCAGGTGTATAGAGAAAATAAAAGAAGTTATCTCTCTCCTCTCTCTCTTTTCCCAACCTGCCGAAAAATAATAAAAATAGACTTTCCAGCCCTGCATCTGCCCGTCTCTCTCTCTCTCCCGGAAATGAGGGGGTGGGGCAACACCATCACCGCCCCCCCCCCCCCCAGGAAAAAGGAGGGGGGCAACAAATGTGGCCGCTCACACCGTCCAGGAGGGAAGGGGGAGGAGGTTCACCACGACGGGTGTTGGGTCGGGGTCGCTGTTTGTTCCCCAGGACCCTCCGTCACCCCTACCACTGCTGCGAGTGCGATGCCCTAATTCGCTCTTCGAAATCACTTTGTTTTTAATTTAATTACATAAAAAATGATTTGGGCTGGCGTGCGAGCAGCATGGGGGCTCTCGGACTCCGAGGGAGTGAGTGTACCACCCCCCCTCCCCCCACAATCCCCAGCCTGCCATGCCGCCATGTCCCCTGTCATGAGCAAGCTCTGGTCCCCCTCCCTTCCTGGACTATCCCTTATTCATGGTCATAGCGAAACGGGTGGGGGTGGTGGGGGCAATATGCAACGCTATGGTTAGAGTTTCGGTTGGCCGGGAGTCGGATGGTGGTGGGGCAGGAAAGGGGAGGAGGGCGGGGCAGTGGCTAGGAGGAGGGCGAGGGGTACGAGCAATCAAGGACTATTCGATCTTGCACGCGCGTGCGTTAGTGAGGTATGCGTCGGTCAAGTGAGCCGGGACAGAGGGGTGAGGGCCAAGAGGAGGAAGGAGGGGGTGAACGGGCGGGAGGTGAGAATAATGGCAGGAGGTAGGGGGAGCTCGGGGAAAGGAGGAGGGAGGTTGATGTGGGGGTCAGGGAAGGAGTTAAGTGCTTCAGTACACAGCCCGGCAGAGAGAGTG